TCTCAGAAGACACACATGGATGCGTCATTCCACAGCACTGTTGGATGTCCAACAAGCTTTTCCGAGTCACAGCTTGAGAGTAAGCTAAGTATGTGGGAAACCACTTTAACCATTTCAAGCCCCAGTCCACTTGACTGAATCTGCCTTTCTACCTACTCATCACTACCAAGCAGGGGCTGAAATGATCGGAAGACCTACCAGTGTCATTTTCATCTTGCATGAGAGACTCGTAGGATGCATAAAAGCCGATGTTGGTGATGATTGCGTCACTGTGGAACACCACCGTCATGTGATTTGATGAGGAGGTAAATATTGGGGTTGTACCAGAGCAGAACCTCCCCAGCAGGAAAGATTCACTTTGTGGGCCATCAAAGATTTCTATGAAGTCATATGGACAGCCAAAGAAATTTTCCATTCTGTGGAGTGAAATGACATTATTCAGACTCAATCCACTGGGGCGCTTCCCCTCTAGTAAGCAGTGTCCAAATCGGTTCAGGAAGGGTTCTGAAAAGCTACCTGAGACCTGCATCTCTTCACATGGTCAGAGGACATGGGTTCCTCTACATACATGGGTAGTATGTATCTTCTTGTTCCTAAAAATCTTTTGATTTTGAAAGTTTTAATTCAACTGTATTTTCTGCATAACTATTATAGGTACATGCAACAGACTCGAAGTGGTACTGGTGGCTATGCAGTGAAAAGCAAATTTTTTTCCTACCCTGGACTAGACCCCCTTTTACTTAACTTGCCTTCCAGGAACTTCTATTTGTTTTTCCCCAGAGATAGTCTAGGTCCAAGTGGCAGTGTGCTGTGCTCACTGTCCATGGGTTTCTTGTAGGTCATTGCAAAGCAATATTCCCTTGGTGTGTGACAGCCACATATGGATGTGTCAACATTGATTTAATAATGTATCCTCTGCCAACCTATTGCTGATATAAGAATTCTGCTATGATTACTCTCTGTATTCATAAGACTGCATCTGTAGACAAAATTCCTGGAACAGAGATTGCTGGCTTCAAAGAACTGTGCATTTAAAATTTTGAATAATATGGTTGAATGGACTTCCAAACGCCTACCTCACTTTTGAGAATTAAATATGGTAGAGTTTTTTCTTTTTTGGGGGTGGTGGTGGGGCCAGTAAATCTGGTGTGTGTAACTGAGTACAGACAATAGTAAAAATATCAACAGTTTACTCACTGCACCACTTCAAATGTAAGTTTGACGTGGGCCTTGCTATCCACTTGTATGTCCCAGGCACATACGACGTTCGTGGGGTATTTTTTGGGATACCAAGGGCTGGAGAACGAGCCTGAATTATTCGTGAGCAAACCACCACAATGAAAATTCTCATCTGCAAGAAACATTGAAGAAGTCCCTTCAGAAGGCAACATGACCTTGGCTGGTGTTTTCAGTGGGGCCAAGTGGGGGACTGGAAGCAAAAGGAAGGAAGCCTTGAGTCTAGGGTGGCTTTTGTCAAGGACTGAGAAAGCTAGCTTTGGAGACTCCCCTGAGCTCTCGATGCTGTCGTTTTCCAGGTGGAGATTTTACTGTGTGTCCTCATAGGATTTTTGTGACATTTTGCAAGTGCTTGAAAGGACTCTATGAACCTGTGTGTATGGATGGGTCTAAACACGGGTTTTCATGAAAGGAGTGTAAAGACAATACAAGCCAAAGAATCCTTTCTCAGTACGGGGGCAGTGGGGGTTCAGTGGTAGAATTTGCCCCTTCCATGTGGCAGACCTGGGTTTGATTCCTGGCCAACGCACCTCATGCACGCCCACTGCCCGTCTGTCAGTGGAGGCAGCCATGTTGCTAGGATGCTGCACACGTTGCAGAGGAGCTTCCAGACTAAGATGGACTAGGAAGAAAGGCCTGGCTAGACACTGCTGAAGATCAGCCAGTGGGCCGCATGGATCACAGCCCCACTGGGGACGGCGCAGGGCCGCCAGCGTTTTGTTCCGCTGTACCCCGGGTTGCCATGCGCCAGAAGCCAATTCAGCAGCAGCTAGCAACAGTTATGTTATATACAAATCCTAACTGAAATCAAGACCAAGGCTGCTTGAAGCCCCCAGTTTATAAGGGAGGCATTGGATTAGTTGTAAAATTTGTCAAAAGCCCTTCTGCCCTGCAGCTTCCCACCCAGAAAAGGGAGGAGGAGCAGTCATCTAATTGCTGGAAGAGCTACAGTGAAAACAGAGCAAATGTAAAACAGCATAAAGTGTAAGTGAAAACAAGGTACCTGTGGGGCTGTCCCCACTGGAGTCTGTGAAAATATACAGAGGAAAAGAGATGCCATGAGCAAAGACTTTTATGATTCACTTAAAATGTTCTAAAGCATTGACATCTGAAATATAGAAATCAAAAGGAATGATTTCTCTGTGCCTTGGGGCACAGAGAGGACTGGGACTCCTCAGGAATAGGGACATACGCACACCAAGTGTGTGGAGCGTGTAGCAACCCCTTGTGGAGACTGGTACCTGGGGTTTCCACTCTCGGCTTCCTCCAGGACCTGGCTGCATGACCATCACAGGTAGTTAACCCCTCTTCACAGTACATAATGACTCAGGAAGCCCCAGTGCCTGAGAGAGTGCATTTCTGGTGAATCTAAATCTCTCTCCCTCTTACCTCTCTCCCTGCCCTTTGCAGCTCCAACCCAACCACTCTGTTGGTTGCTCTTGTTCACTAGCAACAGAGAATTTAATTAGACCTGGCCCAACCGCAGAGTTAAACAGTAGCCAGGACTCATACACACCAGGAAGCTGGTGTCTAGTGAAATGCATGGACAAGCAATACCTGGTGGTCCAGCTTTTGGGTTGCCATCAACTCCTATTCAAAGACAGAAGAGAGAATGAGAGATGGAGTAAGGCAGTCACATAACTCATAAAAAAAAAATCAGGCATTCTTTTCTCATGATCAAAAATAATTTCTTCTGGGTTTTTGGGAATGTTGCATCAATAAACACCAATGTTGGTGAAAAGATCGGCAGCCTACTTCAGTGTCCACTGGTGAGGGAGCATGCTTTGCTTTTCTGGCCCACAATGGCTGAACTGAAACATGATACACTTATTTATTTAGGTCAGACCATGGTTTAGTAACAGAAGAGTAATGGTCAGAGTTGAACACAGTCTAACAACATATCACGGAGAGGCAATACTTACGGAGTATGGGCTTGTGTGTAACCTTGGGTATGCCTGTTTACTTTATCAATAAAATGAGGATCATCAAGTAGCTGTACCACCCATCTGTCAATTTGTCATATTGTAGTAGTTGGCATGCTGCTATGATACTGGAAGCTATGCCATGGATTTCAAACACCAGTAGGGTCAGCCATGGTGGACATATTTCAGCAGAGTTTCCAGACTGACACAGACTAGGAACACAGGCCTGGCAACCTACTTCCAAAAATTAGCTAGTGAAAACCCTATGGATCCAATATGGTACTGGAAGGTTGTAAAGCACCACACAATAGCCACAACACTGGATTCAAACATAGCAATGATTGTGAAGATAGTACGGGACTGGGCAATGATTTGTCTGATTATACGTAAGGTCGCCATGAGTCAGAGCTGACTCAACAGCAAATAACAACAACAGTGGCATCTTCTTTATAAACAGGTTGGGAAGACTGGATGAGATAATGAATGCACCGGGTTTAACAGAGCAGGATGCATGGTAGGCCTCCTTCAGACATCAGCTACTACTCCAATTCAAGGGAGAGGGGCCTATCACCAACAGTATGGCATATCATTCCAGGAACAGAATGTCTCTGTTGAATCACCTCAACTGTTCAGGTGAGACCTTGAGCATTTTACAGACACAACAATTGAAGAAAAAGAAAATGAGCTCTTTGGCAAATCTATTTAACGAGATGGCTTGAAGCCTGGTGCAAGGCCTCCTTTCACAGTAACTGCCTCCTGGATGGACTTCCTCTCTTCCAGAAGCTGTGGATGGGAGAGTCTTTCTCTTCCCTGGTTAGTCGTGTGTCTGGGGAGCTTACCTGAGCAGACAACGCTGGCATCCTCTTGGTGCCCACAGTTGTGAGACAGCCAGCCCTTGTGTGGGCACTGCCACACCTTTGCCTCACTATCAGTGCAATGCACCTCATCCAGCACAATGTGGCCCGTGCCACCATCAAAGTAGCTCTGTACTGGGGCCGACAAAGCCTCACCACCGCCGAGCTGCTGGCACACCACCCTGGCATCTGTCAGGTCCCAGCTGTCATCACACACTGTGCCCCAGGTGCCATTGTAGAAGACTTCCACCCTGCCCTTACACCTGTGGCTACCATTCACCAGCCACAGAGACACACCTGGATAACAGGAACATGGGTTCTCAGCTGTGCTTCTGTGCCCAAACTCTGCTCCTTGGGAATGTCTGCAGGCAGAGAGTGTTTCCAGCACATGGACTCCTTTACCATGTTAGGCCATTGGGCTCTACATAGAGTGGGCTATGTCCCAATTTGCATGGGATGGTCCTGGTTTGTAAGGGGCTCTGGTGGTGCAATGGTTAAGTACTCGCCCTCTGACTGAAAGGTCAGTGGTTTGAGCTCACTGGTAGCTTCTTGGGAGAAAAGACTTGGAAATTTAATCCCATAAAGATTATAGCCCAGGAAACCCTATGAGGATGTTCTCCTCTGTCCTCGAGGGTTGCTATGAGTTGGAACTGACTTGATGACAACAACAAGATTAACACTCATTGATCTGCTGTAGATCAATGAGTGTTTGCTCATTCTTTCAGGGTTCTTTTTGAACTTTCAAAAGTATCCCAATTGGGACCATGGTCGCAGGGGACATCAAGCTCAATTGGCATAACATACTATACAAAACATTGTTCCACCTACTACTTTGGCGAGTAGTGAC